CCCTAACCCACCAACGGGACTTCTTCTTATGGGGCCCGGGCTTTGGGCCCCATAAGGAGCAGTTGGTCCCCACAATGTAGTATAAGTTGGAAAAATGGGCCTCACAAAGTAGCATAAACAAGGACACACACACACACACACACTTCATATTCCACTTATAGCGCTGTTTTAAACGGTGAAAAAGATTTGTAGTGTCGACCTTATGTCAGGACTTGTTTTCGGCATTGTCTACAGAAAACATTTTACTGATGCTCATCTGACAATTTAAATCCAAACCATCTTCAAATAACAGCCATTGGTTTTCTTTTTGCTCAGCAGCTAAGCTGCTCTTTGATATCCTGTCAAGTGTTTACTTCTGCTAAACTCCCACCCACCTGGAGAAGCAGGGGAGTGCGTCAGGGGGAGGGGCTGCGTGAATTTGATGTAGACGGGAGAAAAAGAACTACAAGGCTTTTCAAGTCTAATAATAATCGATGGTTGTGATAGAGCCACTTTAACCATCATAAATTGAAAAACTTGCGATACATCGAGTATATTCGATACATTGCTCAGCCCTAACTCAGACAACCGCTCCGTTTCTGCAGGTAAGGACTGATGTCTAACATCTTGTGAAGCAGCCTCAAGTTTAAACATCTTACCTCCAGAGTGACAAATCAAAGTGTTTTCCTGCCAAGTTTGGATGCAACTCACCTTTGGTCACATTTTTCATGTAAGTTCAGCCACAACATGGAGGAACTCTACTACCAAACACAAATGTAAACAATGAGTTGTCTAAGTCACAGCAGAGAGCCACAGAAAAGTTCACCTCTTTATTTCTGTAAGCTGCGTTCACACTGCAGACAAAAGTGGTCTGGAATCTAATGTTATTTGTCCATTTATGACACATCAGATTTATTTATGAGTCTGAGCTTTTCCAATTCAACCCAGGTCTTTTTCATACGTGGGACTAAATCAGATCCACATGTGAAGTTTTTCAAACTGACCTCGGTGTGAACGCTCATGTCTAGTTTCACCTGACTTTTACTGTATGTCACTGAAGTGATATTTGGTTCAGGTGTCCGAGTGTCTCAAACAGAACGTTCTGTACTGAAACACCAGAATTCTGTCAACTTCTGCTGTATTGTGAAAACCAGTTTACTTTGACCATCTGCAGTTTCAAACCAGTGTTTCTCTTACCATTATTCAAGAAGAAGGGCACCCCGCCTACCAACCCTCCACCCCCCACGCAGCTCCACCAGTTCTGGACGGGGAGCAGAGATTGTAGCAGCTCAGCTCAGAGTCCAAACTGTGACAACCGTGTGCAGTACAAAGGTAGCGCTCCGCTACCCCCCACACCCGTCTTGTAAACAAATGCCAAAGAGACGAGCGCCCAAGGTCAGTAAACTAGAGGAAACACTGTCAACCACATTGATAAAATTGTGAAAACAAAGTCTGACGTGTGGCAGGGGCTTACATAAACTCTGTGAGTCTGATGTGCCAGGGCAGGAAACCCAACGTGCTGTTAATGGGTCCAAACTTCACCACCAGTTCTGGGTCTGGAATGTTAGACTCTGAAAGAAACATGGAAACAAACAATGTTTGAACTTTACTTCATTCAAATCAAAAGAACAGCTGTCACTGATGCTACACCTGGAGTCGGTTTGACTGTTATAAAAACACGAGGATCATCATCAGGTCTTAAGTCCTAAAACCTGGTCTCAGATGAACAACAGCTGGCAGGTCTGTTTAGTTTTTGTCGCATCACGGAGTGAAGAGGCGGAATAGTAAATACCCTCTGTCTGTCCATGCTGTGAGCATGATAAACTATTCATCAACAAATAAATTCAGTAAAAACAACGTAGAGCACCACATTTGCTTCGTGTGTTGTCTGTTGTTCTGTCTGTACAGCACTTTGGTTGGCCTTGTAGCTGTTTTAAGTGCTCTATAAATAAAATGGTATGGTACATTCAATTAGCTCCCTCGTTTGGCTGAAACATTTCTCCTGATGGGTTATCTGGTATTTGGTTTCTGTACCACCCCAGGATTTTCAGTTATTATTTTCAGTCATGATTTCAGAGATCTGTCCAAACCCAGACTGGTGGTGTTTGTCCACCTAGACCAGGGTGATGATGAGACATGCAGAAGATTCAGCAGGTGTTACCTCTGAGAAGTATGTCCAACATGGAGACACTGATGTCTTTGGAGCTCCTCTCCTTGTTCTCCACAGAGTGACAAAGCTTTCTGGCTGCCTGCACGATGGTTTGCTTTCCATCTTCAGGAGACAACACCTTCACTGTGGACCTACACGACACAACTAACACACACACGCACGCAAGCAAACACACACACACACTTCTTACCAAACATGGCCGAGAATTTATTGAGCATGTGGGACAACATGTCTCAGTTACAGCTTCCTGTCAAGGGTCTGGACAGACAGACTGAGGTCACACATTCAAATCAGTTTTAACTGTGCAGCTCGATCTCTGAGTGGCTGGTGAGTACTGAGGTCATCGACCTGCCCAACAACCAGTTCCAGTTGTGATCCAGCCCACCTGAAGTCATTTGTCCTGCACATACAGTATCTGTTTGTAAAAATAACCAGTCACGTGGAGACTACACAACATGTTGGACTTTTCATGACTTCTTTTGTTTTTCCAGACAAAGATACAAGATTTTGGTTTTCAAAGAACACCAGCTACAAAAAGGTTTATAAAATGAAACTCTTCAGAAAATGTTATAATAAATGTGTACCATAGTGTTGGTGTTTGTCTCTGCTGTTTAATAACTCCACCTCATGCCTGGATTCATCCACACCCAGCAGGCTTTGCTGCTGCCTCAGTATTTCCTCCTGCAGACGAGATGAGTTCTTCTGGAAAATACCTGAAGAAAACATACAAAGTCTTTAAATACTTCAGGGAAATAAAATGAAAAAATACTGGTGTTCAGATTCAGAATAAAAAAATACAACTGAGGGGTAGGAGAGTAATGGCGCAGAGGGTAGAAAAGGTGGGCCTGTGATTGGAAGGTCGCTGAGACAACTCCCTCGACCGACAACATCAAAATGTGGGTGGAAAAGGTGAAGCACCCACACCTGCCTCCACCCTCATTTGCCCCACTCTGGGCCCTTGAGCAAGGCCCTTAACCCCCACCATCTGCTCCCCTGGGTGCCCTAGAGAGCAGCTCTCTGCTCCACACAGAGGGCTGTGGTAGCTCGGTGGTCTGTGGTTGTGTCAGGAAGAGCATCCGGTGTAAAAACAATTGCCAAGTCTTTGTATGAGTTATCCAAAAAAGTTCAATCTGGTCATCTGGACATTAAAAAACAAAACAAAAACAAAGCAAAAAAAATGTAGAAACGTTTCGTCTCTCATCCAAGAGACTTCCTCAGTCTGAGGTGCTGTTTTCAGCTCAGTCTCTTAAATAGCACCTTCTCAGAGTGGATCAACCAGTTTTGCTGCTAACAACCAAAACCAGCTGATCACATGCTCAAGAAGGACCATCAGCCTAACAATGGATCATTAGCACACTGATGGCTGTTTACTACTCACAGAGGGCTGAGTGATACTAGCAATCACAGCATTGTAAGAGGGGGACAGTTGAACCTGGAGGCCTCCACCCCTGTTTAATGATGGACGATTTCTTTTCACAAAGATGGCCTCCTTTACTCCTCTCTCAAACCATCGTTCCTCTCTGTCCAGGATGTGAACATCTTCATCCCTGAAAGAGTGACCGCTGGCCTGGAGATGAGTGTAGACCGCAGAATCCTGGCCTGATGATGTTGATCTTCTGTGCTGGTCCATCCTTTTGGCCAGTGGCTGTTTTGTTTCCCCAATGTAAGACTGATCATAGCCCTCCTGACACTGAACAACATACACAATATTACTCTGTTTGTGCCGGGGGACTGGATCGTCAGCAGCAAACTGGTTGATCCACTCTGAGAAGGTGCTATTTAAGAGACTGAGCTGAATACAGCACCTCAGACTGAGGAAGTCTTTCGGATGAGAGACAAAACGTTTCTACATTTTTTTGCTTTGTTTTGGTTTTTTTGAATGTCCAGAGGACCAGATTGAACTTTTTTGGATTTTTCTACCTGGATTATTGAGCATGCATCAGGATATTTGTATGAGTTAGTTTGCTGTGGAAATCCCTGAAGAAAGGAGCAGACGAAAGAAGAGGAAAAAATAGAATAAAAATTACAACTCAGCTCCCTAACAATTCATTTAAGTAACTGAAATGCAGAAATGAAATCATGTTGGCTTAAATGTGTCTATATTTCCCACAGTCTGAGCCAGATGTTGGAGAACAAGGACATCAAGACATTCATGGACAGAAAATGTAACACTGCTGGAACGCTACTGTACGAGCAATCTGTCAGATATCTTAAAACGAACAAAAGTTGAACGTTGGATTGTTTATTCTATACAGTATTATTTACAACCCAATCTTATAACCTAGCTTCCTAACCTCTACTGTTTCCCGCTCCCCCAGCTGAGACACTTCAGACCAATACAAGGAAAAGTCAAAAGTTGGGTGAAGAATAGTGCCTCCATACTGAACGACTGTTTTGCATGCACAGACTGGCAGGTCTTCAGAGGATCAGCTGTAAATGAGGGTGAGCTAGAACTGGAGGAATACAGTAGTCCCTTGCAATTTTGCGGTTTGTTTGTCGCAGATTCTCTATATCGGGGTTTATCAAAATAAGACTGGACATGACATAATTGGCTGATTGATGGATGAGCTATGGATTATTTATTTAAAATAAATTATTTTAAATGATTTTGCACAGTATGTGCAGCCCACAAGTGCAGGGGAAGCTCCCTCTTGCAGCTGATCAGCTGATCTCCTCTGCTATACGCACATTTCTCCTGCTGCAGCTTTGTGAAGGTTAACCCTTTGCTGTCCAGATGCACTGATCGACTTCTGTCTTCCCACTTAAAATTCAAAGTGTGTCACATTGTAAAATCATCATAATCACAAAAACACAAAAAAGTGTTAAAAGTTATTTTTAATTATTTTAGAACTTCTATGTTCAGTTGTTTCAGTGTAATTGATCAAGAAGTGCATTTCTGCTCCGTGCTGCAGAGCTGAAGCTGTGTGACATCCTTTGATGTCCTGCTGCACTTCTCTTCTCTACAATTTAAATTTAAATACTGTAACATGGATTGTTTATTTAAAATATCGTGATGCATGCTCAATAATCCAGGTAGAAAAATCTAAAAAGTTCAATCTGGTCCTCTGGACATTCAAAAACAAACAAAAAAAAAAACAAAGCAAAAAAATGTAGAAACGTTTTGTCTTTCATCCGAAAGACTTCCTCAGTCTGAGGTGTTGTATTCAGCTCAGTCTCTTAAATAGCACCTTCTCAGAGTGGATCAACCAGTTTGCTGCTGACAACCAAAACAGGCTCTAGAGCAATGTGGATATCCTAACTGGGCCTTCCTGAAAGCAGAGAAGAAACCCAAACAGGACTCCATCCAGCCATCAGGTGAAAAGGAGGAACCCAGACCCAGACCAGTGGTCATTCCATATGTTGAGGGAGTATCAGAGAAACTGAGACGTTTATTTTCTAAACATAACGTCCCAGTGGCTTTTAAACCCCAAAATACATTACGGCAAAGACTGGTTCATCCCAAAGATCCAGTCCCCCGGCACAAACAGAACAATGTTGTGTATGCTGTTCAGTGTCAGGAGGGCTGTGATCAGTCTTACATCGAGGAAACTAAACAGCCACTGGCCAAAAGGATGGCCCAGCACAGAAGATCAACATCATCAGGCCAGGACTCTGCGGTCTACACTCATCTCCAGGCCAGCGGTCACTCTTTCAGGGATGAAGATGTGCACATCCTGGACAGAGAGGAACGATGGTTTGAGAGAGGAGTAAAGGAGGCCATCTTTGTGAAAATAAATTGTCCATCATTAAACAGGGGTGGAGGCCTACGTGTTCAACTGTCCCCCTCTTACAATGCTGTGATTGCTAGTATCACTCAGCCCTCTGTGAGTAGTAAACAGCCATCAGTGTGCTAATGATCCATTGTTAGGCTGATGGTCCTTCTTGACCATGTGAGCAGCTGGTTTTGGTTGTCAGCAGCAAAACTGGTTGATCCACTCTGAGAAGGTGCTATTTAAGAGACTGAGCTGAAAACAGCACCTCAGACTGAAGAAGTCTCTTGGATGAGAGACGAAACGTTTCTACATTTTTTTTTTTTTTTTTTTTTTTTTTTTTTTT